CTCACACCCAAGTCGTTCTGGGAAATAGGATGTTTTCTAGAAAGGTACTTCTGCATTGCATTTTTTGAGAAAACTCCTTCCATCTTCTGACAACGTTTCATGGTACAAGGCTGATGTACACTAAAGACCTGTTTGGTAACATTTATCTTGAATAAGCAAATCATCAGTAAAACCTTGAATCTTCTATAATCCAGCACCTAGCATAGAAGTAGTGATCAAAACAACGTTTGCTCATTGAATGTTGGCTGAGTCTTGGCACCAGAAGTGCCCGTTGTTAGAATCCCTTTACAAGGACTGAGGGTCAAGGACAGGCTCGGCATAGTCACTGAGATGACACATTCTCCTTAAGCAGAAACAGAAAGTAAAACATCTCCCTTTGGAAATAGCAAAATGTAATTTCTCACAAACCTAACCTTATACATAAATTTATGATTACTCTGCCGTATCTTCAAACAATTACTTATCAAAATACTTCAAATGTTAACTTGCCAGATGGCTTTAGGAAAAAATCTTTATAAGTAAGAGGTAAAAAGAGATGGCTTTGTCCTGTGGGGAAGATGGTGAGTCAGACACTTAAACAGGAATGTGAATAACCTAGAGTTATGCTCTTAAAGCTGTGACATAATAACAGACAGGAGGGCAGAGGCCACTGGGTGCCACAGACTAGGCTTCTGGGTATGGTAACAGCTGTCATGCATGTTCTCAGTTCTCAGGCTGGAAAGAAGCAGCAGGACTCAATTCCCAGTCAAGGCTTGCTGGGAAAAACACTGACACAGGGGAAGTTTATCTCTGGCCCTAGTATCCTTGTGTTATCTGTTGGCTGCTTCTTATATGCTTTTTCATATCCCCAGTGACCACACTGTTCCCCTCTGTGATCATCGGCAAAGTGGGAAATTTTTATTTCTCAGAAGAACTGGATGAGGCACTGCGAGCTCTCTGACTTCAATCCAAGCCTGCCGCCTGCATGTGCAGGACTCACTCTTTGTTTTCCTACCTGCACCCTACTGAATAACATGAATAGTCAGAAGCAATGTCTTTGCCTTTAAAAAAAAAAAAATAGCCCACATTGCAATTTATATCAGGACACTACTATTTTTTGCTATAGTCTCTGCAACATAATTTGACTTTTTAATGTAGGAACGTGTGTTACACTGATTTAAAAAAGTATTAAAAAGTCAATGAACACCAAGGACATGGGGGACCACAAACATCACTGCAGTATGTTAACTTACAAAATCAATTATCAACATTACCAACATCTAAACAAATGCCTAGATTTCTGTAAGAAGAGCTTGGGGACAATCTCTAAAATGTGTAAAGGATCACACGCCTTGCAGAGATCATAATCAGGACTGTCTTTACTGATAAGCCTTGTTCAAGGGAAATGCCTGAGATGCTGACTGGGAAGAGCGTGCCCTGTCTTCGGTGGGACTGCCCTGAAACTAGGCCAGGCGTGGGCGACAGAGGCTCCTCGGGGGTCTCATTCTCATTCGGCGGCACCCCTCAGTGGTTTCCCCCTCTTGGCTGCTGTCTGCCCCACTTCACCTTGCACATGTCTTGGCTACACTCTTGTCACATTAAAATTATTTTATCTATTTCCCGCTAGCTTGTAACTTTTTTTAAGGGTTGGGCCCTCTACTTTTTCTCAGAATCCCCAGTACCCAGCAGTCTGTGTAGCAACCAGTGTCTTGCAGCAAATATGAGGATGAGCTTTGGTCTCTGAAAAACCTTTCACACTCCAGATCTTAGCTGTGTGCTTTTTTAATTTAAACTCTCTAAGCCTCAGTTTCCTCATTTACAAGATGAATATAATAACAGTGCCTACATAATAGGATTTTTCTAATGGTAAATGTAATACTACCTATGAAATGCTTTGTAGCACTCAGTCCATAGCATTTCAAAAGTATTATCTATTATCTTCTATTAAAGATAATGTGTCTTTTGGGAACAACTCTGGAAAATTGCCATATTTGGTGTAGTATATAGTAAAATCTCTAAACGTTTACTTATATGAATTTGTAAAATCGCCTTTATATTCAGGCCATGAAGCCTAAAGACTTGGAAATGATTTACTTCTGAGAGAATCAAAATTAGAAAACTGAGATTGCAGGATGTGGTGTCTCTGATTATTCCCAGTTGTTGCCAAACAAAGCTTTTTGGACAAAAAGAATTCCACAAAAGAACTTTTCCAAGCTCCTTATAGTCCTACTCTAAAGGTAGTCTTAAAAAATGTTTTTGAATGTTTCTTTTTAAGATGCCAACTCATTTCCCATAGCTTTTCCCCCTGGAAGTATAAAGATTATTTTAACAAAAAACAAGTAGTGCTAAAAAAAAACACCCAAATCTACATGGAGCTCACATGTTAAATAAAGAAAAGGTATAACATATCTCAGTGGCTTCTACTTAGAAGCCATTATGGAGAACTGTCCCTACCCATACAACAAACTTTTTCATTCCTCATTTGAGATATAATCTGATTGGGAAATAATTTTGTATTACAGCAAGAAATCAGGTGTTTTTTTTTTTTTAATTTCTATATAAATGAACGCGCATCAATGTTGTAGCTTCTATATAGAAAGAACATTCAAAATAAACTTATGCAGTTCCTATAGTCACTGAGGCCAAGCACACTTTCCTGTATCTGGAAGACATTACACCCAGAATTGGATACTGAAAGACAAATGAATCAAGGAAAAGAGAGTAACAGTTCTGCACTCCTCTGAAATCCCTCCATGTTCCCTCATCATTAAACAAAAAGAATTTGGAACACAGTGTTTTCCTGAAATAATACCATAATTGAAACTAGAGATCTAAGTTAGGATCAAAGGTAAAACCTATTTTCCATTTTCAAGCTTAGGATAGAATAATGAGGACTTTCTGATAAGCCCACAGAAAATAAGATGGATATTATGTGACCTCAAGTGTCCAGGACCTTCTGTTGAAGCAGCTGGTGCTCCTACAGTTTGCTACTTATGGGAAGTGTCCAATGAACAGAGTACTTGGGAAAAGCAAAATGGGGAAACTCTTGGATATTTTATTGTTAGGGTTAAATCTCAACTTTGAGCCACCTTTAAACAATTTCCTTAAAAAAACTAATGTAAATGAGGTTGTAGATGGATATTTTAGCTTGAGAAAATGTAGTACCTTGGAAAAAAACTTCCCCATAAATACAATGGATATACCAAGTATAAATCCTAACTATTAATAAAAGCAGATTCAAGAGCTCCTTTGTTCACAGAATATTCAGCCAGTCTTCAGTGGTTTGTTGTAATAAGGCCATCTCTTTTGATTTGTTTAGCATCTGTTTGGATTGGCTGATGCTTTGCAGGATTGCTAAATATTTCCAATACCAGCTTTACTTAGAGTCAGGTATCACAATGGGATCTTACTTAATAGAGCTGAATAGAAAAATAAAACTCTTTGTTTTAAATAAAATGGCTAAAAAAAAAAAAAAATCAGCCTTTACTTTGCATATCATGTGACCTTCCTCCATTTAATGAAAGTGTATGGTTATTAATTACACTGGTAACTTGGATAAAAGTTTTTGTAAGAAAGAGAGATTTATTGCACAATTTAGACTTCCAGATTAGCTATGACATTGGATTACTCCAACTTCTCATTTCTGCATATCACTGTGGATAATTGTATTTGATCTGAAATATTAAATCTAGGCAATCTATAACTAAAGTCTTCAAACAATTTTGTGGAGTTAGGAACACTTTCTAGGATTTCTGTTCAATTGTTTTTTGCAGAAAGAAGCCCCAAAATGTTGTATCAACCACTCTCCTAGCTAGCCTAGGATCTTTAAAAATAGCATACTTACCGTTGATGACAATGACGTATCTATGTGAAAATTGATGACTCTCTGGATAAACCACTTGTCCTCAGATAAGCACTATGATGGATACAAATAAATACTTTAGATCCTAAGAGCATCTGTTACTCAAATTAGGCCACATTAGTATGTTAAGAATGGAATATATATATATATATACACACACACACACACACACACACACATATATATCATACAATTGTACCTATTTTATGAGAATAAATGAATTAAAACATATAAGGCATTCAGACTAGTTTCAATAAATGTCAGTTTAAAGAATGATGCACTGTTCAAATTTATCTAGTAAATTTTTGAATAGATGATGCCTGTGGAGTAATGTAAACAAAAACACCCCATAATGCTATGTAAAATTAATATTTTGTAAATATTTTAATAAAAAATATGGAACAAAAAAGGAATGTTATCATAGTGAAAATAACGTAGTAAAACTTGGAAGTATCTATCTTCCATTGACTTACTTGGATGAGTTGGACTTTCAGTATTATAATCATCTAATTTAGTTTTAGGAGTAAGAAGCATGTTTTACTCTTCTTTTTCTTCCAAAAGTAAACATCCTCTTTCGCCATCTGGTGGCTAAAGACAACATTTTCCGTGTGGATGAAAACGGACTCAGATTTAACAGCCAATTATGTCTAATGCTTCCAATTCATCTTACTGTAAAGATATGCATATTTTTAACCAATGCACATATAATTGAGGCAGTTTTGTTCTAACAGTTCCAAGCATTTTATTCAAATAACACTAGCTATAATATCTAATCTAAGATAAAAATATTAAAGAGACAAAAAATAAAAAGAAAAAATTTTGGAAAGATAATTCATTTTGAAAGTTAAAATTAAATATGGAAGTAACAATCTGCTTGAACTGAATGTCTTTTAGTATAAATAATTAACAAGATCTTTATGAAAACAGGAAGATCCAAATATATTTTTAAATGATAAGCATAGTAGATATGGTTAATTTCAAAGAGATTTCAGTTCAGTTTTTACTGTTTCAATAGTTATAACTGCATGTTGACAATTCACACCAAGGAGAAGGGTGGCTAATTTAACAGTATTTGTCTTCCCTATAAATAGTTCTTAAGTAAAATTTTCAAGATATTTATTAGTGCATTCCAGATAAACAACTTCATTTCACAAAAGAATTAAAAAGGACAATTATTTAATGTTTAATTTCTTTATTTTCTCCAGAATAGTTTAATATTGAAACCCAAATTGTTATTTTGAGAAAGGGAAAAACAGAGAAACATGAAAAGACAAACATTTTGTTTAACTTATGGTATTGTGAGCAGTCACTTTTGTAGGCAACACTTTTTTTCTTTGTAGAAAAGAAATAAAAAACAAACAGCACCATTAAAGAATGCATGATCCCTGAATTCTAAACAAAACACTGTCTAAAAAATTGTTTAAATGCTTGTTGCACTCAGTCAAATTTCGTCAGGTATCAAAGCAAGCATAACAGTTTTAAATCGTAGCAGTCTCACTGGAACAACTGCTCCCCCTTCTGAGGATTTTACACATCTTTGCTGAGTTTTTCCTGTGGGAGTAATATATTCTTTGGTAGAGGACTGAAGGAGGGTTTTACTTTTCTGTTTGCTGATATAAAATGTCTCTGTATGTTGAGGGCCTTCGCCCCAATCTGGGTTTGTCATGCATGTTATGTTTGGGTCGATTTCACATTTTCCTGTTACACTGTAAGAGTAATACCGCCTTTAAAAAAAGGCATTAAATGGCTAATGTCAAACAGATGTAAACATTCAGAATACTGACCAAAAAAAAAACCAAAAAAAAAAATAAAAACACAACACACAAACACACATTAAAAAAAAAAAAGAAACTGTACTGAAAAATAGGAATCGGATTATGTTTCCATGAAGCAAGGGGGAAAATACAGCAGTACAAGAGAATTATGGCAACCAAGTAAAGCACTTTCTCTGAAACATTCATGAACAGTACAAATACAACAAAGTTTTCCTACAGTCTAAATTATTCTGCAACTATCAAATATAGTACAAAGCGAAATAGTATATGCTATAAAAAAGCAGCTCCTTTAAATTATCGTAAAAATGCGTTTTGTTCGCTTTACAGTGACAAAGCATGAGGACTGAAGACGACGAGATTTTTATATTCAGTGACATTTTGGCTACATAGGCCCCTGACAGTCTGCTGAGTTCCTTTGCTGGGACTCTTCACATTGTTCTCTGGAAACACAAACGGATAGTGACTCTGGGCTCTGCACGGTCAGCGGGCTCACTCCCAGCGCGCAGCCAGCGCGGCCTTGACACTAGAGACGATGCCACCCTAACCTTGGCTTCAGCTTCTCTAACCCGGGACTTCACCAGACCAAGGAGGAAACGAGGCTGCGGGAACTTCTTCCGAAATGAGTGTTCGTAAAGGAAACCGGGCTGTGGCACATAGGCGCTTACTCCTGACTGCCTTACGAAACCGTTAGGCATCAGCTTGTTTTTGTTGGTTTATTTTGAACGAGTAAGAAGATCCAAGGTCTGGAAGTCAACTAAACCTTGTATAGCTCATCCTAGAAACACGTATCACCACAAAGTATAGCAACCAGGCTCAACCTCAGAGGTTTTTCAAGTTTTCTTTTTCAAACTAGACCTTAGCAGAGAAATATTATAACTATGGTGCTCAGTTCACCAACATTTCTGCTACTCTCACTCGGGGGAAGGACATTATTTTCATTTTGAAAATGAATTTGCATCAGAACGTTCTTATTAACATGCCCATTAACTACCTAAATGTCTTTGTACACCTCAGGCATATGCATATCACGTAGGAGGGGGATTAGGGAATAGAGGTTTTCTTCTTTCCCCTGCTCCAAAAGTGCTACTTATGGAAATACATCCTTAGAGATTAAAAAAAAAAAAAAAAAAGTACATGTCACATGTGCAAGTTCTATTCCTGATAAGGAGAGCATAGTGTCCAAGAATCAGGATAATGCACACACTAAAATTTGCACATTACACCACAATAACCATGTAGTAAATAACATATTCCATTTGCACATAGGCAGACACCTGTGGGAATCAGGAAACTAAGAACCTACTTACCTAATCCAAACATACTGGCTTTTGTATATATATTAAATGGACCTTCTACTTCTGAATTTGTTTCTTTCTTTCCATTATTTTTTTTAGCCCAAAGATACAAATTTCTCAGTAATAAAAACCATATGTCAACATTAGGAAGTTAAACAGGGGCCAAAAAAAAAATCAAAAAAAAAAAAAAATCAAGGGCATAGAAAAATTATGCTTTTTGGACCTAGGGAATAGAATCCATGCACGATCAACAATTGATCTCCCAAACTACTAACTGAAAAATCAAAACATACAGGATACGCTTCTTTATTCCCAGTAAGCAACTTGCAGGCCCAGAATCAATCACATCAGCCTCAGTTGCACTCATATACAGAGTGCAAAGCTTTTGCAGACTGGAGTTTCTTTCCACACTGTGTCAGTTACTGATATGATAGTTTTGAATCTGCTGGTGTAGACAGTATCTGACACTGGTAGAGCAGCAACTGAATTTGGAAGGAGTTGGCATGCAAGCGTCTATATTTAGGGATGCCCCTCTGTGAGATTAGAGCATGATCTTCTGAATCAAGATGACATCAGAGCCAAGCAGACCATTGAGACACCAAGTACGAGGATGCCACCTACACACAAACTGGAGCAGAGAAGCGAGGATCCACCGGAACTTACACTGCAGTCCTTGGGAAGGGCTGGTTACATGCATTGCTCTGTTTCTCAGTGGTGAGTTAATTTTGTTAATTTTAATATGAAAGACAGAATGACAGTACTGAAGCACCACATTGCAGCCACAAAGGCAGGCCCTTCTTTGCTTTCCTTGCTTTTTAAGAGAAAGTATCTTTCACTTTCAGCAATTTGTTAATAAAAATGACATCTCTGTCACCTAACAAAATTTGGCAACATCACAATAATAAATATGGAGGGGGAAAAAAAACATATACCATAGTTGATTACTATTAAAAAAAAAATCACAAGTGGTGTTTTTTCTTTTCCAGAATATAATTTCTGTTCATTCCAGTTAATTTTTAAGACGTATTTTAAGGGAATGTCAAAAGTTTACATTGTTTAGGATGATCCCATGTGAAAATATCTGTCTCACCACGGACAGATGATATTTTCCCCCATTATTATTTTTTTAATTCTACAGCCTCAATCGATCAATGGGTTAATGGCACTCCACATTTTGTGCTCTGTAATTGGAAGTTAAATGGTGTGGTTTTTGTTGTCTCTCATCTTCCCACAATGTGCATGTGCTTTTGAACTTGCTTTAGGGAACAGAGCCTCCTGAACTAAAGCTGTTCTCTGGCATGAGGGTGGCCAAAGTACAGGGAATGTAGCTCAAATACTCAACACTCAGACTTCACTGGATACACACTGACGATATTTGTAAGATGCAGTATCCCTTTTTCAAAAGCAGTTCCACTCCCCCAAATATGAAGAATGTACTGAATTCACCTGAGGGGAAGAAAACAAAACATGCAATGCCTGGAACAATTTTAAAAATAAGGGCTATTTCAGAGTAAAATAGAATTATATAGATTGTGAATTGTGAGGGGAAAAATTGTTCAGAAAATGTCAACACTTCAGCCTTCTGTAGTCCCTTTTATCATCAATGACACTTCAAAAAAAGAGGTGGCCAACCTCTGCAAAGATGGAAGCCAGAATGCACTGTCATCAATATAGGCCTATAATTATTTTCCCCCAAACTTTAATATCTAGTAATTGTATGAGAGTGGAGAGAATGGACCAATATTTACATTATCAACCCATTTATACGTGTTTGCATACACAGCGTTTTTCTGGTTTTCTTTGAATTTTCGAGCATTTTTTAAATACTTGCTCTTAAAGGCCATACATGAAGCTCTGAAATCCTCTGGGCCTATGGCTCTCTGTTGGCCAACTGATCCTACAGTGTCAGGTGTCAAAGGGCTCGAACCAGGTTACTGGGCAAGAGGCCCACACTGCAATTTCCCGCCGAAGACACATTTCACTACAACGTGTGTACAGTGTCCAAGGCTGACGCAGATATTCTGCAAGTCTCTGAAAAGAGGCGGAGAGTAAGGACAGTGGGGTTCATTAATGGCACACTTCCTTCAATGTATCTTTTGTGATATGAGTAAAGGAATCAAACATGTAAATCAGATTCCCCTTTCCAAATATGATTTACTCACTGGGGTAAAGGTAGCCCAGAAGAGTTGACTGTGAAAACACTTGCTGTAATGGTTAATTGACGGAAGAATGCATAACTCACCTTCAATCACTTCGACCACTCTCTTTCTCCATCTGCATTTCTGGTTAGTATTAAGTAATTAAAAATGTCCTTTTCCTATCTACACCTGAATTTTTTTAAAAAACAAAACCCAACGGGGTAGCGACCTGTGTACACATGGGTAAGAACTTTTCCAAAGCTGGGCATGTCAACTAAATATGTATAAGACATGCTGCTGAGCAACTTGGAGGCGATCTCCCCTTCCTGGGAAACACAAGGAAATAATAATCCCCACAGAAAAAAGATAATCCGTTCCAAAGTAAAATAAGTTAGCACAAAATAAAGCACTGAGTTATTCAATTTGTTGCTGCGGACACCATTTGGCTTTTCCGTGTTGAAAAGGGATACTGCATCTTTCACTCAGCTCTTATCGCACAACCAGGCAAGCTACACAGAGTTTTGAAGGACCTATGCAGTCGTCGTGGCAGAAGGCCCCACAGCCTTTGCACACAATCATGGCTTTCAGCCGGCAAGAGCATTTCAGTTCCAACTCGTCCGCGTTGCTGCTGTCGGCAAAGTTCTGAACGGGCATCTGAGCGTTCTGGCCAGGCAGGCCCGTGGCAGGACTGGGGCCGCTTCCCAAAATCCCAATGGACTTTTCAATCGCAGAGGCTGCCCTTTTGAAGCTCGTGCTACCGAAGTGTATTGTTGGATAATTTCCACAGAGCTGCTGTTGTTGCTGCACCTGCATTTTCTGAGCAGCTAATTGGGTAAAAGGCTTTTGTGGCTCAGAAAGCAAATAGGAAGAGAAATCTGCATTTTTTAGCGCAAATGCTTTTAACTGTTCTTTCATTTCATTCTGGTCATAGGAAACTTGTTTCATGCCCAGTTCGCAGCTGCTGCCTAAACCTTCTTCAAAAGAAATAGGTTCCGATTTTATATTGCTACATATGCCTGTGGACTGTGGCCAGCTAAGTCTCTTAGTGGTTTCCATGGTAACTGGAGGTTGTTTTTGATCAGCTGGGACTTCTGCATTAGGAAGAGGTGGAGGTAG